CCTGAACCCTAAACCCTAAACCCTAAACCCTAAACCCTATCAAAAAACCCTAAAACCTAAACCCTAAACCCTAAACCCTAAACCCTAAACCCTAAACCCTAAACCAAGGAATTTCATTTGCATGATTTTTTTCTCTCTCTACTTTCTCTCTCTAAGATTTTCTCTCTCAAGTCGCTTTGTGTTTTTGCGTTTTTCCTTCTCCTTTTTCGTTTCATGGCTGATAACTCTCATCAAGTTGTTGAATCAATGCATAGGAAGTCTCGAAAATCCCGTATACCTATCCACCGAGTGAAGTCCTCAAATCCTCTTCCAAGCTCTCTTCAAGGAATAGTTGAAAACTATGAAGAAAATTGCAAACTAAGAAGATTTGCAAAGGTGTGTTTTCATCGTTCTGTTACTAGATCTGTTAGTTCTAATCTGAATATTGGGGATTCTGTTAATCCCATTAATATTCCATCCCCCCCCAAGGCTCTGGTTGCTTTGGATTTTAATATTGGATGGAATAAAGATGATGGTAGTGGAGAAGATAAGAATGAAGATGTGAGTGGAAAACTTGTTCTCCCTTCCATTCGTAAGTTTTCTAGGCTGGAAAACTCCTTACCGGATGTTACTCACGCGATTAACGATGCTATCTTGCATGACTATCGCCTCTCCAATCCTATGGGTGGAGGACTTGTAGCGTCGTTTTGCAAAAACCAAGTGGTTCCACCCCCCAAGTCTGGTTTGTCAGGTGGAAAATGTTTGGGTACCGAGTTGGTTTCGTCGGCTTCTTTGCTGCCGGTAACAGTCGCTCATGGTGGGTCGGAGTCCCCTGGTGGTTTACCCTCCTCTCCATATAGTTGTCCCTTTGCTATAAGTGATAGCGAGGTGGCTTTCTCCCATGAAACTAAATCCTCTTCACCTAAAGATAGTGAGATGTTTGATAATCCTTGTGGTTCGGCTGCGTCTGGAATTTCTTCATGCATCTCCTCCAAGAACGATGATCCAACGGTCCTTTTGATGAATGATCACAAAAGTCAAAAAGTCTTCAAGTTTGGGGACCCACCTTGCTCTGAAAACACTGTGGACATTGCTGGGTTTTTTAATTCCTCCATGCATGAAACCCCGTATCCGACCGTTGTGGGTGATGGGCTCGGTACTGCTGTGGTACGGCCTGCCAGTGGAAATGATTTAAATATTACTTGCAAGGCTGGCATCGTTGAGGAAGAGAAGAAAAAAGCTCGGCAGATGCAAGAGGGTCTTAATGATGATTGTACCGTTGACACCTTGAGAGGGGATGGTGAAAAGCCTGCAAAGCCGAAAGCAAGTATGGGAGGGGGTATGCCTACTTGTCCTTTGAGGTATGGGGTTCCTTTTAATATTATTTTGGCTGACACTTTGGAAAATGGTATGGAAAAAAGTCAAAAGGTGCAGGTTAGTTTAATTGAAAAAGGTACGGTTGGTTTGAATTCTTCTTTGGATAATAACCTTCTAGTTGGGCCTGCTAATCCCTCGTTAGACCAAGATGTATGTATGGGTGATATTGAAAACCCAGCTGGGCTTCTTCTTCAAAATAAGTTGGTCGATGCGGGTGGCCCACCAGTTATTAGGCCTTTCTCGCCAAAGCCCATGGAGTCTTTGCTGGCCCAGCCGTCTATTCTCGGCCCACCCCCTTGCTGCCCACTGTCAAGTAGCCCAGCTCCTTCCCAGGCCTGTTCTACTTCTTTATTTGCTGATTCTGTTCTTGGCCCAAAGATCTCTGGCCCAGGTAAGTTGTCTATTTTAAATTCTGCCTCTCATCTTCTAAACAATTGTCATTTCCCCCCCCCCCAATGTTGCTGTTTTAAATGAC